TTACGTTCATACCTTGAAGCTTTCGTGACTGTCTGTCTTCACTTACGGGGTTCTGTAAACTCTCACCTGATTTTTATAGGCGCATTCATGGTTCCTGCCACGTAAGATTACTTTTTTAGTGGCTGTTTAACGACAGTGCTGGAGACTCTCAATCACTTCCCCTTGGTCACAGTGGTTCTTATCCAGCAACAGTGCCCACCACGTTCGTCAAGCTCGAAATAACACAGGGCTGTGCCCCTCCTGCACCTGCCCCCAGAAGCACATGGGTTAATCCTGCCAGGGTGTTACAAAGGTCCCTGAACCTGAACTAGGTATACTGCTGAACAGAGATATCTGAAATGTGATGAGCGACAGATTCTTTAGCACCATCCAAAACTCTTGAAGTTGCACCTAAATTGGGAAAATGGAAGTATGTGCAAAATACGCATTGGAAATAGAGAGGAGGGGAAGCTAAAAGTAAGTGATTTGGATTATCAGTAGACCCGTGAGGGTCAGTAAAAATAGTGTGTCATCTGGCCTCTGTTCCTTCAACGTGTGGACAGAAGACACCTTGGAGAGAGACACAGTGAAAAACTGGGAAGGTTGGGTGCCCAAAATTCGTGGTGAGACCCACTGGAGTATAATTTGTAGTTAAATTTTCAAATGTGTTTTGCTTTCATTCCAAACACGATCTACTTCCTCATTTTTCCTTTTCGAGATAACGTCCCTAAACAAGTTCATTGTGGAGTAATGATAATTTCGGAAAATGGCTTTTCATGATCCTAGAGACCTGTTCCACTCAAAGAGCAACCGCTAGGGCGTCAGTTAAAAGAGAAGTGGGCACAGATCGAAAAGGAAATTGCATGGTGAGGGACGCACTTGAGCACGTTGAGAAATTCTGTCTCCACTCCCCTGATCTGAAAGTTAGAGACACTACTGCCTTTGCACATATCGATTCAAACTTTAAAAGGATTAAAACTGGTGGATATTTTTTCATCTCTCCAAAAACCCTGCCTTCACATTTTCTTAATGTCCACTGCTGAAGGTGCAGAAAGCAAGTTTTTCATGGGCCGTCTCTAAAATGAGCAGATGAAATGCGGTAGCATTTGGCCTCCAGCTGCTTTCCTGGAATAACAATGCCACGGTGTAGAATCTGTACAGGTATAGGGATCATCACAGTGCTGTGAACTTAGTGAAAGGTGACAGCACCCTGTCAGAGCCTAGCCTGGAGTATCCTCCTAAAAACGGGTCATTAAAGAATTAAGTCCTGCTAAATACCAACAATGTAGTACTTGCACAAAGAAAGGTCAAATGATCATTACTAAGAAGGACAGCAACTGACTTTACTATCAAGGAAATGTGTGTATAGTATGAACATACTTTTATTTGTATAAAAATAAATAACAGCCATCTGTCTGAATCTGGGTGAGGTCGTATTCATCACCTTCCTAAGTGATCTCCTCAGTTTGTTCCATTCTTGCTGACCTATACCCCATTTTGCACATACCAGCCCAAACCAGCTTT